ACAACTGTCAGCTGTTAGCTCCTGCCCACACTCCACAAAACTGGTATTCCTGAAAAATACCAGTGGCAGAATATTTCAAAAGGCTGCTGAATGGTGCTAACTCTTTCATCAATAAATTTAGCTCAAATTTGAAACAAAATATTTGGAAAGAAAAATCAAAATATTAGGCATGTATAATACTGAAAAAAACCACAGATAGAAAAGAAAATATGAAAAAAACCATCTTGTCCCTCTGCAGCTGAAATTTAGGTCTATTTTCAGCTGTTAGTTTGGGATTTCTTTTGAAGCATCTGTTAAACTACAGAAAGCTAAGAATCCTCTTCAGGAGGACACTGCCCTCTGCTTCTCCAGTGTTCTCACCTAGCAGTAACACAGATTTATTTAACCATATTTTGCCTTTCCTTTTGTGTTACGGTCACTCTTGTCTTTTTTGAGAAACTTGTTCATACTTGGGACTTTATAGCTAGACCCAAAATTTCAAAGATTATTACAAGAATCCTTTTATGGGTCTACTAATTTAGAGCCTTCCTTGTGTCGCACCCTTCCTTTAGCTCCTCAGTGTCTGTGAAACTTAGTTAACTCTTCTCAAACCTTTCGAAAATGAGATGTGTCAAGCAGTAAAAAGAGCTCTGAAATATTTATTCTTCTGCTCCTGTTTACCTTTTCTTTCCTAAGTCAACTGAATTGTGATTATAAGCACACAACATTTCGCAAAACAAACAGCTTATGAATTTTTTGGCACTGCAGAGCAGGTCTGTCTTCTGATTCCTCCCACTCAAAACAGCATGACTTGCAACACTGACCTGTTCATGGCCTCATAAATTTACATGGCAGTATTTACATAAAACTTTTGAGTCTCATAATCTGAATTTCTTATGGCGTTTTAGTATATCACAAAACATATCCCATGACATATTAATAACATCAGTGTGCGTGTAGTTTATCCCTCTTGTCAGATTTAGAAGATGTTGTCACAGGTGAAGAAGTACCATTATCCCCATTTCCCACCTCATCATTTCATAGTGTCAGGAGATAAAAAATGTTCAAGTAAAAGTTGGACACTGCACAGGAAGCCTCTTCCCTTAAATAATGGTCTTGATTTCTCTCCTAGTCCAAGCTAATTCGCCAAATTATATCCCATAAAAACTGTGATTACATACTATACTACTTGGAAAAGAAATAACAGACTCACAGGAACTAACAGTAAAACAGATTTCTGAATAAAGCAGATAACACAGCAGACAAACCTGTCTCTTCTTCTTTGGATCAGTTACAAAATTAGTGAAAAATTCAGTGTTATCATTTCCGTAGGGAAATAAGCAACTCTGTTAGAATTTACAAAAATAACTCAAGCAGGCTTGAATTATGAGTCCTGTCAAGTTTAGCTTGAAAAACTAAAGCAGATTGATGGGAAGCTACAACGCGCTTTTATTTGCTAGCAGGTGGGGTAACTATTGTGATACCACAGAAGTCCCTTGTTGATTTGGCATAATATAGCTTTTATGTTTATTCTTAAAGAAAAAAACAAACAGCACACTGAAATCCAGAGATGATGCCAAACTGAAGAACTGTCATACACCAGGGGCATGAAAATAACAAGAAAAACATCATAAATTCTGGCAAGATATACAATAAGATTTAACTGGCAAAACAGCAGTTTATACATGTTGAGAAAAATAAAACCAATCATCAGAATGCAATCCATGAATACAAAGCAGATATTCAGAAAAGGCAGCAAACATATACTGAAATTAGATTGAAACATCTATATCACTTCTTCTAGCCCCCTTGTATCTGCAAAAGTACGCTAAACCTGGAAAAATACTGAAAGCAGACTATAAATTAGTTAAGCCTTAGAAATAATCTGTACTATGTTTATGTACAACACCCATCAATAATAGACTTTTGTTCTAGAAGAGTTACTGGAAAGGAAACTATAATTTTAGTGACATATTCCTTAGCATCAGTTTAATTCAGGTTAGATACGTCATTCCCTGTACACCTGAAATTCCTGTCAAACAATTTTAGGAAGTGCAAGGAATGCAGGATTAGTTCAACAGCAATTCCAAGCTTCATCTGCCCATACGCTACACCGTGGACCAAGATAAAGGTACTCTCTTCCTCAGATGGAACTGATGAGAAAACACACACAGATGCCTTGTGCTTCACTATCAAAAACAGGTAATGAAATGGGGAGGGGAGGGAAAATCAAAGAACCAGACACCTTTATAAACCGATCTAGAGAGAAAGAATTCAAAACAAAACCGCCCCAAAAAAGAAAGGGTTCAGGCTTCCTAACCTACAATAAATATAGTAATGACTCACAAACATTTCCAGTTTACAAAGAGAGCTAAAAGAGACTTCAAATCTCCCATGAGAAAAATGGGATGGAACTGTAGAAAGAAAAAACAAAACAAAGCAATGCTATATTGTGTTTTGAGAAGGTTGTCCCTGGAGCCTGCTTGTGCTAATAGCATGTAAACAGTAGCCCTGGCTATAGTAGGCATAATAACAATATACTGTAAGTAGCTTTTCCGCTGGATTATTATTCATCGTGGTCACTGTGAGTGTAGACGACATTCACTGATAAAATCCATTAGATTAGGAATTGCTATAATGAAGAGTTATAACAGGGTAAACAAAGATGTTTGAGAACATCCTTTTTTCCATTTTTTATTCGTCTTTTATCTCTCTGATTCTTGCAATGGAATTGTACCTCAGTGTGCACTGCCAGGGCTTGAAAGCAGCTATGTCCATGCTCGTTCTACACAAAGAAAGAGTTCCCACTTCTTTTTACAAGCTACTTCAAGCATCACGTTATCTACCACATACAACACCTACAATTTGCTCTTGGACAGACAGCTTCTTCCCTCATGCATCTTCCCTTGGCTGTTGACACAAAACCTGACAGTCCCCATTCTTCAAGTCAATGAAAACTGATGGGCAGTAGGCCATCAGTCCATCTAGTTTCCCATGGTCTTAAGTTCTTTTATAATTTTCCGCTTTTCAAAGGTCACTCTAAACTTAATGCTGAAAGAATACTTTCTAACATAGTGTCACATATAGTTAAAGTTTTAAAAAAATTAACAAAGAAATAGGAAAAAGTTTCAGTTCTGTATTTTGTAACGGTGTCTTTGAACAATTCAGATTGTTCCACAACTCTTTTTTCAGCAATCCCTACCAGCTTTCTGAGGAGCTTTCTAATTCCCTCAGGACAACTACCCAGCCCAGGCAGATCTGTGCTCACACAACTGCTGGTCATTACAGGTAGCTGTGTCTTTTGGTACCACAAGGATGGCAAGTGGTCCTGGTCAGGCTAAGCAAGTATAGCATGTCCTCTTTAGACTACACAAAAGAACAAAACTAAATCTTTGTGGACCTCAACCCAGAATGAACAGCTGAGAACAGAATTAAAGAACATTCTCAGAGTAGAAAGACAGATTTCCTGTCCCCTGTGAATTTAGGATTTAGACTTTGTCATTCAGATGTATTTATTCAAACTTATCTTTCAGTATGAGTTAACTACAGCAAAAGGTGATTTTGAACAAAAATAATCATGGGAGAAAATTCTTCACAAAATTATCTTCCAGCTTTAGAATAGAATCATGAATCATAGAATCATTAAGGTTGGAAAAGACCTCTAAGATCATGGAGTCCAACTATCAACCCAACACCACCATGCCCATTAAACCATGTCCCTAAGCGCCCACATCTACATGTCTTTTAAATGCTTCCAAGGATGGTGACTCAACCACTTCCCTGGGCAGCCTGTTCCAAGGCCTGACCACTCCTCCAGTAAAGAAATTTTTTCTAATGTCCAATATAGATCTCCATTGGTGCAACTTGAGGCCATTTCCTCTCGTCCTATCGCCAGTTACTTGGCAGAAGAGACCGACACCCACCTCGCTACAACCTCCTTTCAGGTAGCTGTAGAGCATGATGAGGTCTCCCCTCAGCCTCCTCTTCTCCAGGCTTTGCTTTGAGGTATTAAGCTGCATGCTCACTTTTCCATCGAAACACAAAGATATGCTACAGCTTGGCTTGATACATTCAGTTTCTAATTTATCATAGCTCTAAACAGGAATTAATAGTGCTAATTAAAATCTCCTTAAGTCATTCAATTTCTTTGATTAGCTATTTTAACTTTATCCAAGTAAATAAATGAAATTTCTGTTATCTTAATTCAACACCATAAAGTAGAATACATATATTATTAAATTAAACTTACATTGACCTTTTAATGGCACTGAGACTAACATCCAGCTGTTCATACCAATAGCTCAGACACAGTTTTGCACTGCAAGCAGGAAAACAAACGAACACAAAAACTCCAGTGATGTAAATTAGCACATTTCTGGCTCACTGAAAATCAGAAAGTGCCGGTTTTGATCCTAGCACTATAGATGCATCCATTTTAGGAAGGAACACCATTCCCTCCAGGAGCAATGTGATATACAAAGAATATAAAGTCTTTAAAGGTCCTAGTTTTACACATGACAGAATTACACAAAGTGTTGTGTGCTGTTGAATTCACGTCAATGCATGCCTGTTAAGGTGCTGAGGAGCAAATGGTAGAGATAAGGTTTTTATTTAAGGAGACTAAAGCTATCTAAAGAATCTGTGGAAATAATTTCAGCCTTTCCAAAACAGTCCTATGCTTTCCCTGTTTGCTTTTTGAGGATCTGACCCTTCTAAATGGCTTTATTCTCAAATTTATGGGTACAGTTATCAGGAAAACCAACAAGATTTTACTTTTATCTATTAAAATACTTAGTTAGTAATTTACAATGATTTTATTTTTAAATATTGCACTGTAGTAATCAGTAAAAATTAAGTTTATTATTTTGTGAGTCAGCAAAAACATTTGCTGGGTTTGAAGGTATCTTGGGATAAAATGTAATCTAAGCAATAAATATTAATCTGAGGATTCTACCTGTACACATGTTAAATGAAATAAAGCAGGTAAGTAAACAGATGAAAGAAAAGAGGTTTCTAAATACCGTGACTGTTGCATCGTGATGTTTCCACAAGTCGATTGTTTTGGTCATAGCATGCCGTGGCCTGGTAACGATAGCCTTGTCCACATTCCTTAACGTCTCCTTGTACCTTCATTCCCAGCAATACTTCCAGCTTACCCTCTGGTAAAATACAGTCTGACCAATTTCCCACAGGCTGAGCACTGTACTTGTCACATGGACAAAACTGATTCTCAATCAGAGGATACAACTGAGAATTTTTGCATTTATCCCTTTTCTTACTTTTTCCTAGAAAGAAGAAATAATTATTTTTGAAAGTTTGTATCAGTTTACATCTCCACAAAAATTTCATTTAGACTTCTGTAACAAATGCTTGCAATCAAATACATATGCCTAAAACTAGCTACATTAATCTTTATTCCTTTAGGTTAATGACTTGAATTTCTTAAGTAATGGATGCCTACAATTTGCACAAAGGCAACATCTTTTAAAATAAAGCCATATATTCATATTTACTTTGGATAAAAGTGCTTGGGGAGTACAGTTTGAAGAAGGTAGCAATTAAACAAATATACCCTTTTCCCCCTACTTCATCAGCAGTGTGCAGTCCAATAAATCTCTGGAGAAAACACTCTCAAGTTGAAGGAAATCGCAAAAGGAAGTAACATACATCTTTGCTACAGTAGTACCTTCTTTCAAAATGTGAAAATTTCATCACCTGTTATCGTGCATTTTTAATAATTTGTTAATAATTACCATTCTTCCCCTCTAATAGAATAAGCTCCTTCTGTGAATTTGTTTCTTTTCAAATCTCTTCTCGTTTTCCTTCCCCAACTGTAGCATAGCCATCCACCCACCTTCCACTTCCCATTAAATCTATTTTTTATCTTCTCCTTGGTAAAGTTTGCTCAGTTTTCCTTTCCATACTATACAGCTTATATATATTGATGTAGAAGTCTTTGCAAAAGTAGTTTTAAAAATGCTTGTTACTTAGATACTACTGTAAATTAATATTCTGTAGTATTTTCCTTGCTATGCAAAACAAGGCACTGGACACAACTTTGCAGCACCCTTAGTGCTTGTACTTACTACTGCCTTCATTTAGAATAGAAAAAAGGTACCTGAAGAAAAGTTTATCTTTCTTTTGACAACACAACTTCATACTAAAAATACACTTCTCCTCCTCCTCCTCATTTTCGTCATAAATAATTATGAATTCACTCCAAGTCAGCTTTATGTATTAGCCTGGGTAGCACATTGCCACAGAGAATACACCACAGCATGTATCACAGTCTTAACAAGTTTGAAGGGGTGACTTAACTCAGGACAGGAAAGTATCTCAAAGTGTTAATAGTGTGGTAAGAGAATCTGTTCTTTCTTGCTTTGTTTTTTAAATAAAAAAATTGTTAGTCAGGGGTTTTTTTTTCCCTTGTGGAAGCAAACCTGGCATAAAGTTCACTGGAGTTATAAAAGAGCCACAGTGAGCCTTCTTGAAGATCATAAATTATTCATTGCCCACAGGTGTTCTGATTTACAGGGGGATGGAGCGGGGGATAGGGTTTGGATCTTATCACATTCTTTCTGAGACTGCTAACGGGCACCCCCCTTAGCTAGTTTTCCTCCACCACAGACAATACAGACTAATTGGCAAATAGTGCTGTGATAGAGGCCAAGTCTCACTCTTGAGGTTTCAGTTATAATTTAGAAGCAGAGCATGTGTTTTTATCTTCATTTCATGCAGAAGAAATAATAATAATAATAATAATAAAACAGATTAAAAAGAGGTTGAAGAAAAAAATGTTTCAAAGTGGAAGGGTATCTGCCCATCATGTGGAATAAGGAAAAGTTTGTGGCAAGGGTTTGGACACCATTGGAAAAACTTTTTCTTCTGTTAACTAAAACCTCAAGAGGTTTTAAGGGACACAAAGTAAGAGCATTCTTAGTTGTGTCAAGAAATAAGGCAGAAAATTAAGCAACGTATTGCCTCATGTGCTGATCTGAGCTCCTGGATGAAGGCAATGGAAGAACGAAAAACACAAAGAACTTGGAGAGCAAACATTCAGCCAGGGAAAGGATTGGCTTAATCATAAAACTGACATTCAAGACTGCAGCTAAGAAGTTCAAAAGAGGTAAACCAAAGCTTAAAGCTGAAAGTGATGATCTATAGCAAGAGGTTGAAAAGCCCTCAGCTGCTGTAGTAATTCTAATGCACCAAAACACCATCTGAGAGGGAAGTCCTAGTGTAGCCAAGACCAGAAGCAGGAAGAGGAATGCAAGTGGGTTAACATCTGATCCTGTTAAGGAGAGATGACTGTTGATTGGTCTGTCACTAATTTAAAAAAAAAAAAAAAAAAAAAAAAAATCCACTTTCACTAAATTTTCTATTAAAAGGTTTTCTATTGGAAGCTCCAGGGGAATTTCAACAAGATTTTTTTTCCAATTACAGTTCAGTGTTAAAAAAACAAACCCAAAGAAAACAGACCCAATTCATTCTGGTGAGAATTCAGTCTGGTTAGACAATGCTGGCAAGATACAGCTTGTGCATGGAATCATGGTTGCTGAGGAATCAAAATTGCAGACCTGCTCCCTAAATTCTTAGCTGAGAAAACACACATAAATCAAGAAAATGCAAATAATTAATAAGGTGTATGGCCACTCTGGTTTTCATTATCAGTTCTCCAAATCTAGTTTCTTGTCTTAGTAGAATTAAACTTGTTTCACCTTATTTGGGACTGAAAGTTATTTGAGAGCGATGTGAAGAGACGAGATTTCCTACCCCAGGACTCCCCCGAGTGCCTTGCACTACCTACATCATGTTGAAGACCCCAAGGTCTTTGGCTTTTTACATCACTAAGCCAATCAGTTAGTGGTTGTAAATTACATGCTTTTCAACATTCACTAAATTGTCCAACATTTGCCTGAAAACTATCAGTAAAATAAAGTTTAAGCAAAAAAAAAAGCTTTTGAAAAAATATTTTCATATTTTAAGCTGTAACTCAGAGAAATTGCTTGAGAGTGTAACCTTAAAGGTCTGTCTCTTGTATTTGTTAAATGCTTAGCACAAATAGATAATCTCAAGGACGTAATTCTGTACAAATGATAAACCATAAACCAGCAACCTTCCTGATCTCTTTGTGTACAGAAGCAGGCTGCAAAATCAGGGTTTGGAATAAACATGGTGTGAAAACCTTTTAATAGCAAACAATTGTGCCCCTTTTGCTGAAAAGATAACACAGGGCTCAACAAAAATGCAGGTGAAGATTTTTTAATTTTATTTCCTTGAATTGGATGAGATTGTTGGTAAATAATGCTGCTTTACATTTTTCACCTCCCTGGAACTACAGACAATGTGGACTCGCCTGTCAGGAAAAGAAATGGTCTGCTTTGCCGTTTACTATGTGCACTCCATTTAGAAGAAACCCTGGCCTCCAATGTTCTCCCATCTCCTCTCGAGCCACTTCCCCATGATCAGGAGTCTGAGCTATATGGCAGGAATTTGTTCTTCTGAGGAGTTTTTTTTTGTTCCACCAACAGTATATAGAGCATGACAGTGACATTGGGTCTGCTTTCTGCCATGATGACAAACTTTGCTTGCTTGTCACAAGGCAACCTCAGAAAAACACAGGTTTTAATCTAAACAGTAGCAATAATTAATAAAAGATGCATTATTTTTCTGGTTGCTCTTACCGACAAGAGTGCGCTTTCTTGTCCTGACTCCTCCACAGTCCCCATTACAGGAAGAAAACTTTGACCAGTTTGTAAACTGACAGTCATCTTGGCAGGGAATCTGGCACATCTGTGTTAAGGATGGTAATGGGCCAGAGTATTTAAGGCACTCACTGATGTCAGCCTGTCCTCCGTCTTGTCTGCGACAAGTAATTGCTGGAAGCAAAAAGGGATGGAGTTTAATTCAGCAGTTTTTTCATGAATGTCTCTATTCAATTTAGTACATCTACAATATTCTACCATAAAATCACACTGAAAACCCAGAATAGCTATACAACAACCTATTATTTGCAATCAGTTATATCTTGAATGAATACATTTGATATTTCTGTCTTTTTTGAGATTCTGTTTAAATTTCTATTTATCAGGACTTACCAGGAAAAAAAAAAAATCTTACAGACAACTGTAAACATTATAAAGGTTGCACCATGTTATCCACACCTGTTAAACCACTTTTCACATTATCATTTTTCCTACAGATATAGCCTATAACTCAGACATTAAAAAACTTGTGATGCCATTTTATGTAGCTGAATATTGTATAAGTTATAAAGTTGTATCAGCAGCATATATTTTAGAAAAAGAGACAGGCAAATTTTAGAAACATATTTGAGTTCTGGATACCACTTAACCACCCACAATAGTATTGCTGCCTGATGTTCTTCAGCAATTTTTAGTCTTGAAAAAGAGTTAAAGGACAAAACGTGTTTGCTAGGGATGGAGTATCAGCCAATAGGGCTACAATGTTTTATAACAGGATAGCCATATCCTGAATAAAAGCTTCTTACTTATAAGAAAAAAAATAGTTTCTTAAGAAAACTTCAGGTGGCACAAAAGGAAGGAGTTGGAACACAATAATTTACAAAGAATATCGCTGCTTCATTAATATAGTCTTTAACAATGCTCTATTATTTTTCCTGATGGATAATTTTAATTTTAACGTGGTTGCTTACGTATTATTCTAACCTAAGCCTCAGTAAATCTAATTTTATTTCCTTGCCCAAAACAACATAGAACTTATTATGCAGTAACAAGATTGGAAACTTCTTGTTGTTATGCAATAGAATTATATTAATGCTTCTTGGCATCTGACAGCACACAGTATATGCTGTGTCTCATAATAACTGTGAAAATAATTTGGGTCACCAATTGTAGCAGTAACATTGCATCTGAACACAATAAATCATTCTGTTTACATATGAGGGAATATCATATTTTATATTATACTCTGTTCCATAATTTAAGCATAGTACTTCAATTGTACTGACAATAATTGTTTTATTGGTATGTGAATTGAAAAAAAATGTAAATTTTACTAACAAAACTATTATGGCATAATCAAGTTCAACTGTTAGAGAAAAATGGGGTTTGAATGCAAAGTTTCAAAATAAAACAGAAAACTGGCTATGAGTGACTATTTTCTCCTGGAGGAAGAAGGAAGAATACTTGAGGAAACTTTTTCTTTTTTTTTTTTTTTAATATTGTTGTAAGGTAATTGTAAAGGTTTAGCAACCTATGATTTCTGAAAAAAGTTTTTTTGTCTGACAGTTCTAAACTAAATTTCTACCTCATGATGACTGTAGGAAGTTGAACTTGATGACTCCCGTGGTCCATTTCATCATGTGGCTACTAAAACATACCCAAAAGTCCCAAGTGAATTGTTTTTGCCACACGTCTGTGGTAAAACACTGTGAAAGAGAGGGGGGGTTGTTTTTCCAGAGATGCTAAGCAAACAACTTCCCTGATCCTTGACTGCCCTTCGGAGCAGGGCTGCCAGCACTGTTTGTAATAGGCTCAGTACTGCATTAAGTTGTGCTTATTGGGGGACTGAGCGGCTGTACATTGTCTAATACAATTATTCTGTCAAATCCTATTATTATCGGTGTAGTTTACATGAGGAAACCCTTTTTTCCTTCAGATATAATTATAGTGATTCAATTAGCAAAACCGAATATCTGAAAATTGAAAATCCATACAATAACTATTTTAAGGACGTGTTAACTGTACCTACTATAGGATTTCTAAAATTATACAAATATTTTGGAAAAAACACGTCAAGCCAGTATCCTCCAATACAAGCCTAGGCTATGGTTTTGGATTCTTGTGAGATACTCTTCTCTGCTAATAACACACACCGGTTTCCCCAAGCTAAAAACACAGTTCAGACTAGTTTTACCATGTGGAAATTCACAGAGGTCAAACCTAAATCCTCTGTCTTGGGTTTGACCTTGGCATATGCATGCATCAGCAAAACTAATTGCATTATCTTCACTGCATTCTCAGGGAGATATAGGCCACCATTTTTAGCAATGAAAACTATACCTAGTCAAGGGCTAAAAGACAGTCCACTGATTAACCCGATAACTTTTAATAACCTTCTTCAAAAGTTTAATACCCATTTTAGATACTGCCTCTCCATCTAGTCCTTTGATAGGCCATAAGCATTAACCATTGAAGAATATACATTCTTTCTAGCTAAATTGAGTTTTTCTAAAGCCAATAATCATTCCCTCATCTATCTTGGTTATTAAACATTACTCCGTGGGCAGCTATCCACTCTGTCATAAGTTTTTTCAGACTCATATTAGTGCATCTAATTTACATCAAGCAGACCCAGGTGAGAAGCTCCCCTGAGGATTAACACTTTGCGTTTTTTCCAGATTAACTGTCAGTTGTACTGTAGCAATCAAAGCAGGAAAACTTTTCATTCTTGAGACCTAAATATTTCACCTTAATAACAACACATATTAGAGGACAGCTTAGCATACCAAATCAGTTCCTGAATTTTAATTTTCACAATGCCTGTCCATAACTATTCGTGTTACTTCTGGCTGACAAGAACTGGATGATTGGCTTTATATTCCATTTTCCTATTGTTATTCTACAGATTCAAGTATCAATTTGAAAGGTTTATACTTCTTGTGACTGTTGAAGAGTGGATATTTTTCCATTACTTAAAATAGGGATTTTGACAACTGTATACATTCCATTAATACATTCTTTTGGCCAGGTAAATGTCTTACGCGACATCTGAAATGCTCTTACTGTTAGTGGAGTTACTTTTTCCACTCACAACCTAATGTCGGCAAACTCATCCCCTGCTTCTCTGATCAAACCTATGGTTCTTTAATTATATTCTGTAAAAGTCACTGAGATTGATGATTAACTCACTATACAGAGAAATGTCTTCAACTACTGTAAAGCCATGCAGTGCCAGACTAATTATTCTGCCTACACAACCACGTTATATTTATTACAGACATTAGCAGTAAGTGGAAAGAGCATGGTTCTTCTATTACTGAATTAAGCCCAAGTAATTGTTAAGTGAAAACATAAAACAGGAGTACTGCTAACAGAAAAATCAAATTTAACATGGAAACCATTCACTTACAAAATTGTTTTGGAATTTAGCAATTATTATCTCCCAGAAGAAAGGTGTGAAATAAACGGCAGTCTAAATTTTCTAGACAAGGGACTTTGATGTAATTAAAATTTTATCTGATAGCATTGTTTCCACCAAGCCACGGGGGACTACAGGCTAATATATTTGTTGTTGGCATAATGAAACACTAAGACTGATTTGAGCAAGTCTTGTTATGTGTGGGTTTATATAAAAACCTTGCCAATGTTTCCATCATTAGTATACTTCATTGAGATTTCACTGAGATGTGAGATTCAATGACCCCTACACCTAAAAATTAAAGTATTTTATAAATGAACGTGCTGTATGTCCTTTGTTTTACAATACACTTGTGATACCATTTTTTCAATTGTTAAGTATTTTTAGCAAAAAAATTATTCTGTTTCATTTCTAGAAAGGCAAGAATTATTTCAGCACATTAACTTTTCTTACACCTACTATCAGTGCTGCCTAGGCTATGATTTCATCTATGTTTATTTCTTTTTCTGTGGGACACGGCAGACTAGACACTACATAATGAAATGTTTCTATCACAAAGTATCTTAAGCAGGAGCACGTGCCAATAATATTGTTAAAATACAAGCCTGATATTGTTCTTTATGCGCCAAAGAGAGTAACAATGTGTTTCTGATGAATAAAGTTGTCTGGAGATTCTGGCTCTTGTTTTGTCAACAAAAAATTAATTTCTCATGTAAATACTCCTCTTGAGCACTGTTGTCCAAATTCTTACTTCAGTACAAAACCTGAAGCTGCCAGTTGTCCTTTGCAGTGACTGAAATACGAACCAGGCGATAGGGCACTCTCATCTGTTAAGTCTGGACAACGTTAAAATAGTAGTTTAGCGCTCCAGGAAGGAGCAGCACCCCTTCATGATTTTGTCTCCCTTCTCGTGCTTTCAATGAGGTCATGAAACCCCCACAAGAGCAAATCCCTCCCCATACACATAAGCAATGCCCAGAAAGGGAGGCTGCTGTCCCTGCTTAGCCACAGCAAGAGGAAAGCGCTTTTGACCACCGGTTCTGCCTCCGTGCCTCCCCACGGCTGAAACAAGCCTGCAAGGCCTCCTTGTGCGCTCACGGCCATCCTGGGAAGCTTCCTCCAATTCCCCTGCTCCACTGTCTTTCAAATAACTGTACATATGCTCTGCAAATGAAGAATACTGAGAGCTCAGGATCAGCTCTTTAATAATGGCCAATTCCCAGAGACGTCAAGTACAGCTACTCAGATATTTTCTCTGACAGCCAGGTTACTTAAGCTTCTGCCTAAATTTTATAAATAACCTTTCTCTTGCTATTACAGCATATGCTGACAGATTTCACAATTTTCATCCCATTCCTCCTACGAGACTCTGCAGAAGATTTATGGTGGCAAGGATTGGAGGCTGTGCATCCTTTTGCAAATCTCTTTTTGGTCACTGGGATAGCCCTTACCACGTGCATCCATCCATATACATCATGATGTGATTGGTCTATTGTGGTTTGGGCACTTGAGCTTCTCATCTGCTACATGTCCTCTTCACTAGCATTGAGATGCAGTCCAACAAGCCTACTTAAATCTGCAGAAGCTACTGGCAAAACAAGCCTTTTTAGTAAGTAAGTTTCCTAGGCTTTCCTATACAATTCAAAAGGGATTTGAACTGTATTTCTAAGTTCTTTCAGAAGTCACTGGAGCTGAGGTTTACCGACACAGATTTTTTAAGATACGAGCATAACATTACACATACCTGCCTAAGTTG